GTTTGGGGCAGTTGGGGGGAAGGGTGGGTACATGACCGCTGTAGGTAGGTTCTGGGGATATCTTAAAAGATCTCTGCACAAAAGAACCAATTATGGCCCCCAAATCAAGCTAGTTGGGAATGAGGTGAATCAGCTGCTGCAACTCAGCTGCTGAGAACTCCAGGCTCAGACCCCAGGAATTCCAGGGTCCCTCACAGTCCTATCTAGGAAAAACATCATGAATCTTCTTCCTAGAAGGTCAAGGGCAGAAACAAATTCAGGCTCTCAGAAGCACCTACCAGTCAAGCCCCATAGTCAACAGCATGAACAGCAGAATGGGGTCCTCTCTTCTTTTGGAATAACTATACTTTGATTTATTTCTACTTATTTTTTAAAGCTTAGTGAATACTAGAGAACTCCTAGAGTTTGAGGACTAGCACACAGTTCAACGTGCCGTGCCTGACTGGGCTCTTGTCAGCAGCTGGGGTTTTAGAAATCAGTAATAACTGCAATGCTAATTCACCTTAATAACAGCCTGGCCTCCACAGGGCTCTTTCATCTGTGTAACTCCCAGAGCTGGGAAAACAGTAATTACGGAACAGGTGCCACACCCCAGTGATGATGTATTATTAATCCATGAGCTCTGGCTGGGAAACTGAGGCCCAGGGAAAAGGCTCTCACCTCATGTGGAGCTAAGGACCTAACTGCCGGGCGGTGGGGAACCAGAGGTGCCTGCTTTACACCAGCTATGTTCTGGGAAGATGATGAATACAGGGGTGTTCATTCCAGACCTGGGCTGGGGGAGAAGGTGAGGAAAGACACCAGATACATGTCCTATGGCCTTCTCCAGGCTGCTGGGTGGACAGCTCTGGCTAAGAGCCAGGACTTCTGTTATTGAGCCCCTCACGTCTGGGGTGCAGCAAAGCAGGCCAAAGGCAGCCTAAGCTTCTTTACCATCTCTACGGTACACTCAGGCACCAAAGGGTAAGTGAGGGTTCAGCCTCCCAAACATCCCCATGCTAAAGGCAGAGTCTGTGAAGAGGGAGTGGGGAGCGTACCATAGCTGGGCAGGGGGATCAGACCAAGAAGTGAGGATGTAGCTCAGTGCCTTGCCTACCACGCAACAAGCCTAAATTCAATAATCAGCACTGAAAAAGAGGGGGACTGGGGAGACTGTGCTTCAACACTAAGCTCATCTTTCAGCCCTCATTTATCCTTGGCACCAACACTAAAGTAATGAGGGTCTCCTTTAAGACCTCTATCTCCAGTCCCTGCTGTAGAAACTTTCACAGAAGGCCCACTGGACCTATTTTCTCTAAGAGGGCAGGGTGGGAAGAGCAAAAAAGCCATAGATGATCAGAGATGTTTTTCCACTGTAGCCACAGCGGGAAATAGCAGAGACTCAAACTAGGAAGGAAGGGTAAGACGGAAGCATTTCATATTCACCTACAGACTACTGGGTGCTGAGCACTGTGGCAGATGCTGGAACAGACATAATCTAAGCTCCAAGGAAACCCTAAGGGCCAAGCCAGGAGTAACCAGTGACCTTCTCCTCCAGGACCATGTCAAAGGGGAAATATTAAGGGTCTTGTTCTAAGAGATTTGAAGTTTTTCTTCAACATGGTAGAAAGCTGACCAGAGCCAGGGATACAGCTCAGCAGCACACACAGCTCACTCAATCCTGATGACCAGCATCCTCGGGAGACCCTGGGATAATATTCCAACCTTTTAAGGGCCCTCTCTGCAATCTAGGTTAAGAACTGGCCTTCTCTGCTTAAATACAACCAGGCTCTCTCATGAACTTAATAAAGGCAGAATGCTAACATATAAAACTAGACAGAGTCAAGAGTCCTGCCTCTGATACACCATATGAATTGCTTCCCAGCTTGACTTTTGTTTCTTCATTTCTAATGTAAGGGCATTGGACTAGACTGTCTCTAGGATTTCTTCCAGCCTGTGTTGTTTTGATGTGGTGGCAGATCTCAGGTTGATTTACATAAATTTGCATGTTCAATCAGAAATCCCAAACTCCAAGTATAGAAAATCCAATCAGTCCATTAGTGCAGTCAGATGGGCTGGATCCGCCTGCCAGGTTCGGATGAGGGTTGTTAAAGCAGACTGTGGCAGTAACAGTGACTCGAGAAGAGCTGGGGGATATGGGAGTGAGACTGGGCATATGTTCTGAGAGGTGCAGCTCTAGTTACCCCAAAGCGTCAGTAACCTTACTTTGGTTATCAGGCAAGAGTCCTTTCTCCTCCTACTTCTAACGGTGCCTCTGGCTGGCCAGCCTCAGAGCCACACCCCAAGAAGGAATAGCAGCCTCTGCCTAGCAACAGCTGCATCTTGCACTCTGACAGGGATTTCACCATTGCCCACTTTCTGGGAAACTGACTTCCCTGGGAGATTCCATTATCCATTCCAAGGGCTCACTGCAGTGAGGAAAGTTTCCTTGGGGTCTGACCTATAATGCCTCCTGCTGCAACTTTACCATCAGCGTCCTGGAAAGAGGGTTTCCAGGCCCAGGAGAGTAGGCAGAGGGAAAAGCAGTGCAGGAGAATGTGCCTCATATCCACCCAGTCCCTGGGCCTCTTTAACGATCACCTCTCCTTTAACATTCTTCTTTACCTGGGAGACCAAAGATGAAAACAAACAAGAAGAACAAGGCGGCCTTTTGGCTCTTGGGCTGGGAAGCAAGTCCCAACCTGGAGAGACTGACTCCTGAGAAAGCCCAATCCCTAGGAGCAAAGGAGCTGGGAAAAGTGGGGTGGGGGCAGCTTCTCTTCAATGCTGCTGGGTTGGGTGAGCGCAGTGGACAATTCCTTAGCCCTCTGCCTGGGAGTCTAGCCTGTGTGCTGAGATAGGTGGAAAGGGCCAGGGAGTGTGACAGGCAATAGCAGTAGGGCCCTCCTTGCCCTCTTCCCACAAGGTGGAGGAGTATGCTGTGCTTCCTGGCCCAGAACCTAAAACAAGTCCCAACAGCTGGGATTCAAGCTGTCTCCTGGGAATCTGCTTACCCTGCTGGCCCTTGGCTGCCTCCTCTACTCTCAACCTCTCCAAAGGCCCAGCTCAAAAAGTGGCCCAGCCAGGATGTCTGTTTAATTTTTTTCTGAAACAGGGTCTTGCTATGTAGTTCAGGCTAGTCTCAAACTCATGGTTATAATCCTGCCTCAGCCTCCCAAGTGCTTCGATTACAGAAATATGCCACCACCTCCAGCTCCAGCCAAGATGTCTCCAGAGGCCTTGATGGGTAGGTCGAACCCAGGCTAGCAGGATTCAAATCCAAAGGGGCTAGGAGTGTGAACAATGACTATTTTTTTGGAGTCTGCTTCTCTAATCTCAAGCAACTGTAACAGCCACTTAGCTCTCTAAATGGAGCCACCCTGCCAGAGGACCTATCTACCAGTGGAACCTTCCAATATCAAAAAGTAAAAGGGTATTTTAGACCTTTCTAGCCCCACTGCTAAGTTTTAAAGGTGAAAGCCTCAGAGAGGCAAATTGTCTTTGGCCAAGGTCACAGAGCACTGTAGGGGAAGCAGGGCCAAGGTTCTAACTGCATAGGTTACCTGCCTGTAAGGAAGGGCCTGGTTCCCCCGCAGACCATAACATCACCTCTCCTCGGAGGTATGAGCTGGAGGAGAATGTTGAAGGGTTGAAGCCACATGACACATAGACCAAATTTTGGAAACAAATTTGAACTATATAGCAATACCCTCTTCAGATAGGAAGCCATGGTTTCTCTAGATTAAGAACTCAGTGATCCCAGTTTGTTCTTACACCTGTGCGTGTAGGAGAGATGCCAATTTGAGAAGTGAATTTTGTTGTTCTTCTGGCCACACAAGGAGTCTAAGGGAGCCAACTGGCATGATATCTGCAGGATAAAGTCTGCAAGGATGGTTTACATTCATTTCCCCCCAAAGTACTGACCACACAATAGTTAAGATATTGTCCCCCTCTCCACTGTCCCCCAAGCAGTGTCCCTGGCCTCAGCCTTCCATTACTTCCTCTGAGGGACAAGCTTGCTTAGGCCGAGGACCCATGGGGGAGGGGTGAAGCGGCGGGGGGGGGGGGACGGGGTGCCTCCACTGCCCCCTGGAACCTCAGGAAGGCAGGCCTTTAAGACGCGCCTGCTGGGCAGACTCAGCTGATCAAGAACTAAGCTGCCTGGAAAATCAGACCTGTGTGAGGTGAGCGCTCTCTGTGCTTTTGGGGCAGTGCCAAGACTGAAGAGACTGAGGGACTTTGGGTCTAGCATAAAGAAAGAGAAGGTGGGGTGCGACAGCCGCTTTCCCAGACGGGCTAAAGCAGGGGAGTGTCGGGCACAGATAGATTCTCTGCATTCTTCTGGCACCGCAGTCAGGACACAGAGCCTTTTCCGCAGGCGCTGCCGGGTCCCCATTCCCTGCCCAACCCTCTTTAGCACGCAGACGGCCAGGCTTCCTCCGCCTTCCCGCAGTCCCTTAAAGCCTCTGAAGGGATGTTCCCCGAGACTTGGTCTCTCCGCCTCTCCCCGCCTCCCCCACGCCCTACCGCCCCAGGCCACGGGGACTGAAGGAGTGAGAGCGCGGCCCCAGGCTCGTTTCCGCGCCTGCGCTTGGGGGACAGGCTCCCCAACCCTGCCCAGCTCGGCGGCACCGGTCGGTGGGACCCGGGTGGGGTGGGGTGCGCAGCTGGGACAAGGTCAGTGCTTTCAAAGAGGGAGGGAGGCCGGCCACCGGAACATCCCCCAGTCCCGAAAGTTTCCCTTCCGGGGCTATGGAGTGTGCGCGAGGATGGCGCAGGGGGCGGGAGGGGGTAGGGTGGGGTGGACTGAGTCGCAGCCAGACCCGGGGGACAGTGCGGAGAGAGGGAAGGAGGGAGGGAGGGGCAGGCGATGAGGTACGGGCAGGAAGCCGTGACGCCCCCTCGGACCCAAGGCTGCCAGGAGAGCCTCACCCTCTACATTGCCCAGCCCCCCGGCCGGAGCTTACAGAGCTCCCCACCACATCACCGCGCGTTAAATCTCAAGCAGGCCTGGAACTCACGGAAATCAGGTGTTGAGGAGGACTAGAGCAAGCCGAATCTGCCGGGTCCATGGCCGCGGGTCAGAGGCGGGGGGCAAAGAAAGGGGGGTGCCAGAGCCGCCGCTTGATGTCAAGGCTTTAAAGGGGCCAGTAAGCCCCGCCCCTCACCGAGACCCCGCCTCCCTCCTCCAGCACAGCCAATCTTCATGCACACTGGCTGTACGCTCCTCCCAGCTCCCTCCAGATGTTCCCAGGACAAGAGCTAAGTCTGCCCGGCCCGCGCGCGCCGCTTCCGCCCGTGTGGGGAGGGCTTCCCTTCCCCCACTGGAGAAACAATCTCCGCAGCCCGACCTGGTAAATCTTACCAATGCCCTGGACAGGGATGCCGGGCTGGGCCAAAGGGAGAGGGTGTGGAACGGGGGCGTCCAGAACAGTGAAAACTAAGTAGGAAATGCGCGGGCCCACGGACATGCGCGTCTGCTTCTGTGGGGCTGGGCGTGCACGTGTATATGTGGTTGTGAGCGTTGGTGTTTGTAATTTGCCTTCCTGCCTACGTGTTGAGTGTAAATCCATGGGAAGAGGTTTCAGTGCCTCCTTGGCCGTGAACGCTGCTGCCTTTTCCCACCACGATCAGGTCTTCCCAGTAATCTGGAGAACTGGGCGCTAGGAACAGCTTGCTGGAAAGCAGTGTTGATCTTTTTTTTTCCAATTCATTGGTTTAAGAGAGGAGAAGGCAGTACAGAAAAATAATGTAGCATTTGGCCAGTTGCTGTCTCTGGAGGGACGAGTTCGAACCACCTACAGTAAAGAAGAAACAAAACAACTCAACCTAGGCCCCTGCAAAGACTTCTGAGCTTCCTTTAATACTATTCTTAGTGGTCTTTAAACATCAGTTAGTCGGAATACATTATAATCTTCACAAACCAAATTGTACTAATTGGCCCAGATATGCAGGTTCTGAACTAGGTTCTGCAGGGAAATACAACCGTGTCTCGAGACACTGTCTGCTTATTTTATTAAATTGCATCTCTGGTAAGTATGCAGAGGAAGGATGTGACTTAAAGCATTCCAGTAAAGGAACATAAAAACTGAGGAAACATTGGATGCTCATATTGGTTAGGATTACGAGTTCCTCTCTGAAAGAAGCTTCTTATTTAAAGTGGGATTTAGGTGGGATGTGGAGCAACAGGTTCCAGCATGGAGGCGGAGGCAGAAGGATTGCTGGGAATTCAAGGCCATCCTGGGCTCCATAGTGAGTTAAAGACCAGTCTGAATTACATATTTCAAAAAAGGACTGGGGATTTAGCTCAGCAGCGTGAGTGCCTGCCTGGCAAGTGCGTGGTCATGAGTTGGATCCCTGGTGCCAAAAAAGGAAAAAAAAAAAAAAAACCCTAACATACATCAGAAGAAAAAAAAAAGTATTTGAAGAGATTTGAGTAGCATCCAGGGAGGATAAGGTGAGAAGACAGCAGATACTCAGAAAAGAGTAAATTATCAATATAGGTCAGTGTTCAGGTTATATTGGTAGGTTGGAAAGTGACAAGTTAGTCCAGGAGGTTTTGTATGGAATCAGATGAGAAAATAGTCATTTTGGTTTCTTGAGCCCGGGGTAACTTGATAAAAACAGTGTCTGAGGTCAATTGTTGGAGCCTAAAAGATGACATGGTATTTATTCTTGTCAGTGCTCAAAAAAAATTTTTTTTTGCCTGGTACAGAATGAACTCAGAGCCTTCACACTTGCGTTTTTGTTATTGGAGGCAGTGTCTTGCTAAGTTGTCCAGATTGGGCTTGAACTTGGTTCTTCCTGCCTCAGCCTGTGTGCTTCTATGCCCAGTTCATTTTTTGCTTTAAGTAAAATTTTTATTTTTGTCTTTTTCTTTTTTATTGGTACCAGGGATTGAACTCACGACCACACACTTGCAAGGCAGGTGCTTATGCTGCTGAGCTAAATCTCCAGGCCCTTTAAATAAAATTTTTAACAAAAAATTACACTATTATCTCTGGCTTAGTAATCTATTTTTTTTGTGTGTGTGTGTGTGTGTGGGTACTGGGAATCAAACGCTGGACCTCGAACTTGCCAGGCAGGTGCTATGCTATATCCCTGGCCCAGTAATGTTTTTAATTACTGTGTAATATGCTAATACATGGGGGCTGGGGATTTAGCTCAACAGCATAAGCACCTGCCTTGCAAGCAGGCAGTCGTGAGTTCGATCCCTGGTACCGATAAAAAGTTTTAAAAAAAATGCTAATACATGACTGTATTACCACTCATTTACTCATTCTCCAGGTGATAGACATTTGGGTGTTCCCCGTTTGTTTTAAAAAAATTATTCTGGGTCAAGGATATAGCTCAGTGGCACAACTGTCTGCCTAGCAAGTACAAGGTCATGAGTTTGATCCCTGGTACCAAAAAGATGGGATCTCACTATGTATTCCAGGCCAGCTTTGAACTATATAGCCCAGGTTGGCCTTGAACTTATGGCAGTCCTGTTGCCTGAGCCTGCTGAGTGTTGGGAATATAGGCATATGCCACCAAACCTGGCTGGGGTTATTATGAATAAAATTGCTATAGACATTCTTTTGGAAATCTTTTTATGAACATGTATTTCACCTTATTTTTTGATGATATATAATGGCATCTTTGGAGCCTTATAGCATTGACTCTTACTTAGTCATCCAACATTTTATTAAATAGGGATCAGTGGGCTAGTCCTACGATTATAACAGGAACTGGACACGGTCTTTTCTAAGCCTTTAAGAGAAAAACCTTAATTCTGCCAGGCATTTATAACGATTTTTGGGTGTTTGCAAACAACTTAATTTTTGGAAGCAAACGAAACACTTAGATGATGCCTGCTTTTCATTCAGATGTATGCCCTTGTTTAATAAACACAGCTTGAACATCTGCACTTGTTGGAGGAAGTAACTCCCCTCCCTACTTATACGCTTTCACACACTTGATAGTTTAGGTGTTCAAATTTTGCAGATTCTCTATGCTTCAAAAACTTCATTCTGAAAATCTTCCTTCCGACACCATCTGGAACTTGTTATGAGTTGCTGGGTCTGACTTCTTGCTGTACACAGTGCTGGCAGTGGGATCTGAAGGGAGGACTGAGACCCCTGGGATCTAGGAAAGGGTTTTTAAAGTATTTATGGAGACAGAATCCTGCCACAGCCTTCTGAGTGGCTGGAATAAAGACCTAACCACCCTAGCCTCTCCTGAAATCTCGGAGTAGTGTAGAACCTCCTGGGTCCTCCTGGAGTCCCTCCTGGGTCTGAGTCTGTGTCTCACTTGGATGGAAAGGGTCACGCCCAGGTGGGAGGAAGCTGGGCCTTCTCACTGTCAGTGCCTGCGGTGCCAGAGAGGAGTGTGAGAGAGAGCTGGACAGACTGCTTTCTGTAGCAGGGGTCAGTGACCTTTGAGGATGTGACTGAACTTCACCCCGGAGTACTTTGCTAAAGTCTTCCCAGAAGAATCTACAGAACTGTGCTGTGGCAGACCTTGAACCTGTCTCTGTAAGTCAAAAATGGCAATACCCAACCATTAAGATAAGTACAAAAATCTCAGCAGAAATCTAAGATGTCAAGTGCTACAGAGATTCTTTGAACATAGAGAAAGTAGACAACATAGAGAAATGTTCAACAAGACTCCAGATTATAAACAAAAACCTTCTAGGGTAAAATGATGTAAAACCCACATGTGCAGAGAAATGGCCAGCAATTTTTCATTGTTTCTGAGGGGCATCATAATTAATCATGGACACAGGCCATCTGAGTATCAGAAATGTATGGAGAGATCTCATGAATGTAAAAAATGTGATAAAGCTTTTAGTGGTGTTATGACTTTCAAAATTAGGAAAAGACTCATGTTGGAGAGAAACCTTATGCATGTATGCAGTGTGGGAAAACCTTTACTTGTTCCACCTATCAAAGAGGACATGCACAAGTTCACACTGGAGAAAAACTATATATACCAGCAATGCGGGAAATCCTTCCAGGGAAAGAATTGACACCAGAGAAAAACCTTTTGTATGTAAGCACTGGCAAACGCCTTCATTTGTGCCAGTACTCTCTGAATACATGAAACAAACCACAATGGAGAGAAACCTTACGTGTGTGAGCTATGTGGGAAAGCTTTCTGAGAGTAGGGAAGAGTGCTGAGGCATGGAAATACAGTGGGGACAGACTGTGTATGAGGAATGTGGGAGAGTCTTCAAGAGCTTTGGTTACTTGCAAAATCATATAAGGACACATGCTCATCAGAAACCTTAAATATAGAAAGTGGAATCCGAGAACCACCATAGTCCACCTGAGAATGCCTTGAGGGGGTGCATCCTGTTAGGGGAGATTACAGGAAAGCCTTTAGCATCTGGGTTCCATTCACAAGTTTGAAGGAACACAGTATGGAGAAAAACATCATTAGCAGAAGAGATGTGCAGAAATCTTTAATTGCCCATATGTAAGAATGTACACTGGATTGAAACCCTGTCGATGAGAAATATACTAGAAAGATACCAGTTGTAACAGTTGCAGTGTTCTATAAAAGTTCCACCCTCTCGAAAGCCTGGGAAGGTAAGTAGTATAAACAGCATAATGCCACACCTAATCTGAAGGAAATCTAAAATTTGTTATCAATAATATATTCGTCATTGGCTTTCTTTTTGGGTGAAGAATATTTGATCCAGTCAATAAATAAAATTGGAATTATTCTACTGTCAAAAACAAAAACGGAAATCTAGCTTAGCAGCAAAAGCACCTGCTTGGCAAACACGAGGTCCTGAGTTCAATTTCCAGAATCAAAAAATAAACAATTAAAAACCCAAACCAAACAAAACCCCAAAAAAGCTTCATTTTCAGTGACAGGGAGTAAAAGATTAGTTACTTTGATTGCTCCTTAATTCCTTTGTCTTCCATGAGGCTTAAAACACTTTCATTCTCAGTGTTGTTATTCACTTATTATTTTTAGTTTGTAAAAATATTCATTAAGTAATGCAAGATATTCAACAAAATGAATTTAATGAATCATCTAAAAGTTACAAGCATACTTTAAAAATATGAAACTAGGGGCTGGAGGCTTAGCTCAGCGGCATAAGCCCCTACCTTGGAAGCAGGCAGTCATGAGTTCGATCCCTGGTACCAATAAAAAGGAAAAAGACAAAAAAAAAAAAAAAAAAAAAAGAAAAGAAACTAAAATATGAAAATGGTTAGGCAAATTGGCAGAACATCCTTAAATTGTTCCCAAAGCAGCACAATTTTATACAATACCTATTAAAGCTCAAAATTTTCCAGATGATTGAAATGGTTATGCCATAAGTGCATGTGAGAGATGATTTTAAAACCCAGTGTATGTTACA